ACAAAAGAACCAAAGGCGAACAAAGGCCAATGGAAGCTGAGTGCCCTAATTTGTCGGAGTTTGAGAGTGGCGAGTTTTGTGAGTTGTGTGAGCTGGAAACCCCGACACAAATGGGTTAAACACCCGACGAACCGCACTACTAAATGGTCCACAATGGAATGCCCTCGGAGTCTGCACGCTTCTGAAGGTTATAGATACATCCATGGGACCCTTTGCAGGACGCAAGGGTTTCGTCCTGATCGGCTTAAGTGGCGCATTGAAAGGATTAGAAATCCGCGATCTCAGAGTTTCTATCTGTATCCGGATTTCAGCCTCCTTGGCCATTGTCTGCTGTTTTTGGCACTTGAGTGTTCATTGAGTTTTACGCAACTGACGATTGGCATGGACAATCCGCTTTTGGCTATGAGAGGATCTCCTCGATCTGCAACAATTGCCCTTGTCCGGATCCTTTGTGATTCAACACTTTTGTGCCGCCGGGAGGGTTGTTCGAGGGTGTGCCCAAGGTGGGCGTGTGCTGACAAGTGACGATGATTTTCCCACATTAAGGGCCCGGCTCGAAAAGCAGCTCAGCGGGATTCCCCTTTTCGCACTATTGCACAAGTGCCATTCAGAAGGCGTTCAGGCGGGCAATTTCGCATGTTATTTTCGCTAAATTGCGCTAATCGCTTAAACTTTTCAGCGCCCACTCTTCGGGGCTGGGGTGTTTCGTAAATTGTCCGCAAACCACATTGTCTAGGGCTTAAGACTCATTTAATATGTTGTCATGGCGCAAAAGGTTTATAGCGCATTTGAATTTGGCTTTTCTTTGCCGACACAAGTCACTTGTCACTGGCGAGCTGGGCGAGCTGGGAAATTTTCCACTTAATTTTGATTCTTTTCATATTTTTTTGCCACACCTCCCCCTCACAACTGCTCAATGGCCACTCGAGGCTTTTTGTCACACATCCTTTTATTCATGTCCGGACCAAATTACATATTCATGTGCCGAGAGGCCCTCTCAGATGGGTCTCAAGAGCCAGCCCATTTGCATTATCCTGCCAGCCAGTGTTGCCCACAGAGCTGAAATGTATTTAGAAAAAAATCTTAAGAATTGAAGCAAAAAGCTGACATCGCTTCTTACTCGAATAAAACCATCAACTGATGGCCAAAAATGATGGCCTTTCTAATCAACAGTTTTATGGGGAAATGCAGTCGGAATAAATCCTTTTGGCCAGTTGACGCTGCACATTTGAGGCCCTAAAATCCAGAGTTTAGGGCTTGTCGAGAAGGGCGGAAGGAAGCGGGTAATTCAATCGATTATAGCCACTTGGCCAGAGTCGGTTTTGGGGTCAAACAATAAAGTTACAAGAGTTATGGGCCAAGAGACCCGAAAAAGCAGAAAGAATAGAATGGATTTCAATGAGAATAGGCAGCCGGCTAATATCCTTTGAGTGACTTCTTCCCCCGCTGCCTTCGGTGCCGAGGAATAGTCAAGCTGTGTGCGCCTCATTAAACGGTATTTTTGTGGCCATTCGTATCTCTCGGATGCATCTTGTTATCTCGTCAAGAGATGGCAGCTTGTGTGAGTGTGCGTGGGTAAACTCTTCGAGTCTCTGCTTGGCGACAATTTTGCGTCATTTGCGGTTGTGGATATGGTGAGAAGAAGAATGAGATGGAGGTGGAGTAGTAGATGTCAACCCATCCATCCAGGCAGCCAACAAAAGGCAGCCTTTGTTTGGATCCTAAGCAGCAGCCGTCGCCGGTTGAAGTATCTTGAAGTACGCTGCGTGTATGGGTATGTGTGAGTGCTTGTATCTTTCAGAGTGCAGCTTGCATGTGTCGCTGCTCCTGTGAGTGGGCACCCTAATGCGATTCTAATGCCAGAGGCATACCGCATGAATATCCAACTATTGTCCACCGCCAATGGGCTGCCTTTGTCTCTGGCAGCGTGGGACTCAGATATCCCGTCATCCGTCCCATACTTCTTGGAGCTGATTAGCCGCAGTGTGCGAATTGAATGCAAATCAACGAGTTTATGCCCGACGATTGCACAACAATTGCTGCATTATCACAAACTACTGGAAGTGTTAATCTCAATCGCGGTTCAACGTGAACCTAATTGAAATTGTTCACCCCAAAAATTGATGTCGCCAGAGATCAGAGAATGTGGCTGCCGCAGGACAAGAGTTCAGCGGAAAGAGGCAAGTTTAATCGCTTTAACAACTCTCTCCAATTAAAGGCCTTATGCGAAAACAACAAATCGCATCCTCTACGGCCTGATAACGAGCCCGGAGACTGTCCGGACGTATGTTTTCTGTCAACACCAACTACGTACATATGCATATACTCGCTAAGAGCTATTTGCTATTTATTTGTTCATTATAGGCGTGTGGAAGTTTTTTATTCTATGAGCGGTTTGTTTACATTTTTTGCCTGAAAATTGACAGCCCGACAAAGCGAAAAACAAAACCCGGCCCTCGACGTACGGATCGGAGGGGCTGGCGGGTGCCGGACGGAGGGTGGCAATCTCAAAAGCACTTTTTGATGAACGGACGTGCACAAGTCGTTGCTTAAAAGCAGGTCAACTGACCTCGCAGCCGCTGCCGTCTCACTGGCTCTTTGAAATGGCGCTTATCAGCCATTCGAAGAAACAAAATGCTCCTTATCAACGGTTGTCTTGAAAAACACAGACTCTGAGTGGAGGGGCCCCAGAAAAACATCTATGGATCGGTCCAGTAGGCGATGGAAATGGATGATTCTCCCTCTGGATTGATGAGAATTCATAGATACTTTTGCCCGAAAATAAGTACTTTTTTGAATGGAATTGTTTTTTATATTAAATGCGAGAAATCTCAAGTGTCTGGCGATTTCTGAGCTTTACATTGTTCCTTTGATGTTCACTACATACCTATAGGAATAGCTAGAAGAGATCTTTCCGATTTCTGAATTACTTTCGCTTGATTGAAAGGTACGACCCTTTTGTTGACCATCGTTTATCTGGTCAGTTTAGTTAATTTCAAAACCAGATACAGTTACAGAACATAGAATGCATCATTAATTCGATCCTTAATTTCGATTTTAATTCGACCTAATCCATCAGCATCCGTCAGCAACTTGGCCCTGTAACCCCCAGACGTCTCACCTTTTGCCATCCTGCCTACGGGGGGAGTGGCACTTTCTCACACTCGGGCTCGGACGGAGCTGGATATTAATTAACCATGGAAAAATAGCGAAACTGACCATTACCAGCGAAGAAACGGCCGAGGAATGACAGAAACTATTATCTCTCTAATAGGCGAAAACACACGCGCTGTGCCTAGAGTCCTGCGTCCTGTAAGGGGATACTTTTCCGGCTCCCGACCCATCAGATTCCGGTACAGACTTTTCGTAACTTCCACTGACCACTGTCCTGTCGAGCAACCCTTTCGTGCAGCCTGAGACTCCTTCGAAATCCTTCCGCTCTCTTTACTTAAGCCTTTGTTTTTCTCGGCATTGTCCTGGGCAGCGGGCACTTTGCATAATCAATAATCCTTGACGCTGGCCAGCCATTGTCGCGCTGACCAACACGTCTGAAAAGATAAATTATGGTTTGTAGTCAAATTGAAGGCAAACAATCCGGACAAAGGACCTTCCAAGGGAATGCAATGGCTTGGAATCGCACATCGAGTGGGGTGGGGTGGTCATCGGATAGTCCTGAAGACAGCTGCCCTGTGCTGGAAACAGGACGCTTAAAAGTGTAATGGGTTAAGGGGTTCCTGCACAATAAAGGTTTGTTTTTGTTCTTGGGATTTATGTTTTAATTTGATTGTTCTTAAGGTACGATAAAAAACAATATGGAATATTAAATTAAATAAAATCTAAAAGCAAATGTTGACGGAAATCATAATCTTGATCCAGGCAACTAAAATTAGGATAGCTTAGTCAATCACTTTCAGAAATATTCAAATATTTGGTGATAAAGTCTCTAGTTTTTGCATGGAATCTATAAAACTTATTTCGATCAATCGCCTGCCAAATTTTTTGCCAAGTCAAATATTGTTATCCTTCTATTTCAGATGCAGGAGAAAGAATGGGAATCATAGTTGAAAAGGTCAGTCGCAACAACGGCCAAAAGTCCCAAGACAAACGGCCAGCTGTGCAAATGTCAAGACGTAAGTGTCAAAATGCTCATTAATAACGTCATCCTTTTCGGTCGCGGGAAGTGCTTGACGCTGGCTGCGAGGTAGGAAGAGGTCCTTTTGCTGGCCAAAGCAAACACACACGGACAAGGAATCGATGAGAATGCAAAAACGAAAGTACAGCTAAGCCGATAAAGCAAAGTATGGACAATGGGCAAAGTTCGTCAAAGGATGTTTGCACAAGTAAACACTGGAAACTATCCTCCAGGAAGAGCGATATGAGGTGTGCCTCGGAGGAAGGAGCGGTGTTAAATTGAAAAATTATGATAAACAGCATGAATGGGAAGGATGATGGAGAATGGAAGTCTAAGAACTGAGACCCGAGGAAGCCGAGGAAGTTGCCAAACAACCCAACCCACATCCCACTGAGAGAACGTCTTCTGGCACAGTGTGAGTGATATGCAAAAGGATATTAATACCCGCGCAGGACCAGCAAGACGTAAGGGTTGGGCTCAGGACAAGTCATTCCGTGAGTGAGCGAGTGTTGCCAAAGTGTGCATCGGGCCATAAAGGAAACCCATTCGCTACGGGATATCATTTACGAGGACGTGTCGTTTGACCGCCCAACGGGAATCAGGACCGCCTTTACCCTTTCGCTACCATCCTGGCTGCTGCTAGGTCCATTGTCCTTTCACTTTGTTTATCTGCCCGGCAATAGTTCACATGAGCTTATCATCCTCCCAGCGAATGTTTGCTAAAAAAAAAGTTTGCCAATTTTCACGGGGGTGAGCGAAGGGGTTAGTACTAGTCGTAACTTTGGCTTTGGTCTGGTGGGATATTCTCGGCTTAGTGGTGTAATGCCCTAATGCTTTGTCTTTGGCGGATGATTACAGGACACTAGGATTTGGTCTTTATATCTTTGGGATTTTATTAGCCAGCTACAGAAGCATGAGGTTTTGGTAAGTAACCTATGCGTATGGGCTCGTTTCCGTGGAGCTGCTCTTGTAACCGCACTTTTGGCGCCACTCGGCCAGCTCTGTCTCCTCGATCATGGGCCGCGTAGTCACCGAGTCGATGGTGCAGACAGTGCCCTCCAGTTCTTCGCCGGCCTGGTCCAACTGGTCAAGTCGGTCGTAAATGATTCCCACGACTCCGAACCGCTTAAGCAAATTACGTATTGCCAGATTTGTGGTTTGTTTGCCCCAAACCAAGGCACATAAGTGGTACTGTTGAAGATAGGCCACAGTATATGGGCACTTGAGCAAGGTGCTCGCGTGCAGGCTCAGTCCAAAGAACTCCATTGCGTGGCCAAGCTGCACGGACATCTCCAAGTTTCGGACTCTCTCGTCCGCATACTGGACCTCCGAGTCCAAGCTTTCGGTGAGTAAGGCCACCGGATAGAGGTTCTGTTTGTAGCGAATCATGGTGCAGATATCTGCATCAAATGAGGAAAAAATAATGCGTCTCTTCCCTGCATTCTGCAGCACAATTTCCAGAATGGTGTCCACGTAAAAGTTTCGGTCGAAGGTGGGCTTAAAGCTGCCCTTTTCCCAGCGTCTTGAGTTGTCCAGCTGCGGCCACTTGATTTCGATATTGAAGCCCAACTTGGTGGGCAGAATGTCCTCCTGCTTGAAAAGATCCAGCAGCAGTGGAAAAGGTCTTTGTTCCACCAACATCTGGGCGCAGTTAAGATCGCATCCTTTCCCGCCAGCGAAGCGAAGAACCTTAGCTCCCAGCAACTGTTCGTAGGTAAAAGCCTCCAAAGGAACAGCAATGTGGTCCTTTCGTTTTGAACCACCCATAGACAGTAACATAAGCCTGTTAAGCTTTTCATAGGCGAATACGATGAGATCCTGATTGTACAGAAGTTCATCAAAGGTGGGGAAGCGCTGCTGCAGGAATCGCAGCACAAAGTCATGAAACACCACCACCTGGGCATCTTGAGTGAGATGGACATCGAACTCCACCATGTCGGCATTGGCCGCCACCATCTGCTTGAAACCATACAGGGTGTTCTCCCTCACAATGTCCGGACCTAGGCGGTAGGTGTTCCCCGAGCCCCTGTGACCAATATTCATGCATATGCGTCCCTTGCGCCAATAACGCGCGTAGCAGAGGCTCATATCACAGCTGTAGTTCTCCAGCGGCCGAATCATCAGGTATTTTATATTCATCTCGATCAGTGGGCGGTGGGTGGAGGCACACGTGATCTTCACCCGAGCACTACCCTCCGAGCCCTCCAGTTGCTCCGGCATCAGGAACCCGTAGCCGTAGTGATAGGGCGGCTCATCCTGTCCGGCATTGCTGGCAAAGGTGTACAAGTCGATGCGGTACCTGGTCTCCGCTGGAAGAGCAATGGAGCAGTGGAAGAGCTGCATGTCGGCAGGTCCGCAACGAACCCCAAACTTGGGCTGGAAGGCGAGAGGGCGTGTTTCCTTCAAGTTAACTGCCTCGACATATGCCAGCCTTAGCTCAAGCTCCCCAACAGGTACTTCGGCGTCGGCCAGAAAGTGGGAAAGTCGCGTTACCTTAAGGGTACCCCTGGGCTGGTCGCTAGGCTTGTCACACGCCGGCACTGGAACCTCGAACATCGGCTGGACTCGGACGTAGAGCAGACGCTGTTTTTGTCCTTGCCATATAAACGGAGCATTGAAGACTCGCAGATGCACAATAGTTTCGGTTGTGGCCCAGCCGCGGTCCACCCGATCGGTCTCATCTTCATTGGGATGCCCATAGCAGTCGCACAGCTTCAGCATGTTCTGGCAGGTTCGGATGACACGCGGATGGATCTGCGCCTCCCAGGTCCGAATGTAGACTTCGTCCATCTCAGGGTCATAGGCCACCACACAGTAACGGTATTCGATATCAATGTTTCGCGGAATTGTAACAATAGCTTCATACTGATGGCACATGCACATGCAGTCGTAGCACTCCGACTTGGCCATAATATACACCTCCTTGGGATTCCAGTCCCCCAAACTGTGACAGTTACCCGTTATAGCAATGTACTCATTACCGGCTAGTTTGCGATGGTAGGTCACACAGAAGGGCCAGTCAGTGGTGGGCACATTGGCCTCGTCAGGAACCTGAGAGAGATCATCGTCCCCAGACTCTTCGACGATCTCCTCGACCTTGGGCTCGCACTCTTCCCGCTCGTTGGCAAAAAACCAGCGATGCATCGTAACTGAATAGCAACGGAAATTTCGTCAAACTCCTTAAACCACACAAAATACTGCCTATGTAAAAAGTTGCAATTTGGAAAAAAATATATATAAAATCAGTAGATTAATGTATTTTCCTGACAGCTCAATGAAAGTGTGACTTGACCAATTTTTTACTAACGGAAGTCAATCTATGCAACCAATATTTGGCGGATAGAAGGTTCCTGAGTCTAGAATCTAGATGAAGTAACATCCGATTCACTCCCAGTCATGGGCCGACCACAGATTCCGCAGTTCGTCCGAAGGTTTTTAAACGGCGGGCAGTCTTGGCCCTACAAATAAATTCAAATGAACTTTATTTACAAATTTATATAAAAAGTAAAAAGTTAGCTTGACACGGGAAAATGAAGATCTATCTCATTCGCCGATATTCCTCAGAATCCAATCCAAACGGGGTAATATGTTAACATGTATCTGTCTTGCTTCATAACTTTGATAAAAACCGGAAACTACAATTCCAATCAGATGAAATTTTTTGGGGTTTCCAACAGCTTCGATTAGAGCAGATCCCGAAATGGGCGATCGACTGGTGTGGCCGCACGTGTATCCCATTCGAAAATTTTTTCCAAACACTTCTTCTAAACACCCTACTATGGGTCTGGTCTCAAATGGAACCTTAATTCTTCCATTTTCCAGACTTTGTATGAACCGGGAAGGATCCTTAAATCCAAACCCTACTACGGTAAGATTCTCACTGGGCTTCTGATTCTCAACCGAAGGCAGGCAAATGGGTTGAACGAAGTCGGTGTAGACCACCTTTTCCTCTAGCTCTACAATAGCCAAATTATTTTCAAAGAGTCCTAACCTGAAGTCCGGATGTAGTATAATCTTTTTAACCGGAATTTTCTGCGTGGCTTCATCAGTTATGGCCGCGCTTTTGTTGCTCAAGTTCCAGTCACCGAAAATGATGTCCTTTATTTCAGTACGGAGATTGTCCTTACAATGGGCCGGAATTAAGGCATGGCTGGCATCTATGAGGACTGCCACACATTGGAGAAGTTTCTGATCATCTTCAATTTTTCCAATCCACGGGTGCTCATTCGGTTGGGTAAGAATATCTCCGTTTCTCAACTGAGCCTCGTCCAGTGTGCCGCATTCGGTGGGCGGCACAGCAGCTGTGTAGGTGGCTGCAATTAAAAACGTATTACTTTAAGCTCAAAATATAATAGAAAAGGTCCCTCTCACTTGAAAATAAATAAGGTATAATTAGTAAAACAAAGTAAGACCTCATGGCAAATTGCTGCTTCAAAGAATAAAATTGCACTAATTTCAACTCATGAGACCAGGTTGCTTTTTTATAAGCCTGAAACACAAGAACTTAATTTGATAACACAAAATTTCCTAGAATGCGACTAAGAAGTTTTTGGAACTGAATCATTAAAAATGATTGAATTAAATTAATTATTCTTGGTGCAATAGGGCAGCAAAAAAACCCGCGCTATCTTTTATATAAAGTTAAGTCGTTTGCAAAAAAAATCCGCGTTATCTGTTATATAAACTTAAACTGTTTGCCTCGTTTTAGTACGAACTCTGATGGTATCATTAGCTTACCACAAATAATAAGGACTAAATATTTAATTGTCCCACCATCGAGACCAAAACTTTCCCACCAAAGCCAACCGAGCATCCTGTCATATTCCCGGCAGGAAATGATCTTTTGATCCGGAAACTATAAAATTGGTACACCGATCCGGGAAAAATCTCTGTGTCGCGGCGGAGGCACGCAAGCCTTCGTCCCCTCAAAAACAAAAAATAAAAAAACAAACTCTGAAACGAGCCACCTGCGACAGGATCAAGGGAAAACAACAAGGATCGCGGACGGGACACGCTAGAAATTAGAACAGGGGGTTGCACCCTCAACTAGGGAAATTAGGTGTAGTTAAAGTCAGGGGAAAATATAATTGGTGTTGGCTTTAAAATTAAATTTTAATTGTAGTTTCTCCAGAGACTCCTATTGGGGTAGCGACTGTGAGAAACTCGAAAAGTCCAAATATAGAAACGTCGCCCGAAATATTTGTGTCCGGATTCCAGAGTTGACAGTTGTCAGTGAAACCATTTCGAGCACTTCCCTATTTGAGATCTCACCTTACCCGAATCAGGGCAGCACTTCGCTGGCTTCCAACGTTTGGGGCGATCTCGAATTTCCCTGGTGCCTAATCCGCTTGTTTACCCAACAAATCAACTGCAAAGGGGTGACACGAAATCAATAGGGATGGGGATGAGCCCACAGAAGATGAGGCCCCTTAGTGGGGGAAATGAAATTTATGCGCGTCAACAGCGATTAAACAGCAAACGAGGCAATCAAATACCATCCAGACACATGCCAAGAAATCCAAACAAAACTGCAGATGCTGCAGCGTGTTAGGAATATATTCTGCAGTTGCTTTTCAACTTTTGGTTTTTAAATAATAAGTATGCTAATAATTTTAGGCACTCATAATTTTCAATAAAACACTAATTTGTCAACCACTGGTACTCAACCACTGCCAATGTAAGGCCCACACTTCAGTTTCAAGTGCTTGACCAATATTTGGCCTGACCTCCTCCAACCCTTCTGTGGGTACAACCACTTCACGCCTGTCACAAGTGTGCCCTTTTTCCGGCCCGGTCATCCTCCACTGACGCAGCACAAAATCCGGACACATGTTCGCTAAACCGCAGAACGAGTGCCAAAAGTGCTGTCCACCGGCCATGTCCCTGTCCTGACCATGTCCTGTGACAGCTGGGAATGAAATCGAAACCGAAACCCAAATGCTGCGCCTGCGCATTCGAGAGCAGGTAGAAGTCCTGCGCCTCCTTCCGTTATGTGGGTTTCCCACTTCCACTTGACTCTGTTTGCTCAGATTTGTATGGGCGAGGTGCAACGTGCTGTTGCAAGTGCAATTAAATGGCAAACAAAGGGAAACAAAAAGAAACCGCAGCATGCGCCCAGGTAGGCCAGAGATCAACTGTCAACCTTGGGTCGCAATTGCTCCGAGCACTTCCTGCTGTCTTCAGAACCGGAAAATTCAAAACAAAATCCTAATTAAGCATAAAGAGACTAATTTCCCCGCTTCCCCAAGGCTGTGTGGGAAAATCGAATTGGAAATCTTTGAGCCAGCTCCCCGGTGGATAATCCACTCGTTTTTCTCGCGGTCTTCAAATTACTTTCATTGCACCGAGGCCTGGGCACAGGCGCACTGTAAGACAGAGCTGGGGGAGTACTGTGGAAAATGCAGTTTTCCTGCCTTTGTTTTCGTGTAGTTAAATATCCTTGGGAACGAGATTTTCCTTTCCTTAGGGCCTTTCTTTGTGCAGTATGTAAATAATATTTTCTACAATGTTTACGTGACGTTGGAGCAGTCCAATTTCCTGGTGGATGTCCTGGCGCAAATACGGATGCCGGATGTCCACAGGATATCTCCTGGATAAACAGGTGTCCACCGATACCTTTCCGATGGAGGACCTGAGAAGCGGTAACCCCAATAGGAACTAATCCCCCTTTGTCGAAACGGTAAACATGTCAATAAATCATCCCAGCACTTTCATGTCATCCATCCACTCGATGGAAATCAATAGCCGGAAAATGGTTTTCCAAGGCAAGCGTAAAACAAATCCAACACCGAAAACACCAGAAATCACAAATTAGCTACACAACAACTAGAGTGTGAGAACCAAACCCAACGACAGCCACGACATTTAAATACCAAAAAGAAACACTCCATTGACACATGGAATCGAAGTCGCCCAAATCCTTATAGCAACATCTGGACAAGTACTAAAAAAACAATAACAGACCCAAGTGCCATCCAATGCGCCAGGATCTTTAGCGACAACTCGCCCGTGGAAGATTACAATTTATGACTGGGGCCGATTCTACAAATATTAAGCCAGAAGTTGGGGATTCGACGTGCATTTCTCAAACTCAATGGAATTTGTTACACGCCAGTGGGGATGGAAAAAACGACCACAAAAAAGTTGATGGAATTTGGAAGATTTCCGTGTAAATACAAGACTAATTTAATTGGACTAAGGGGGACGGTTTGGTGGCAACTTTCATTGACATGAAGACTTGACAAATCCTTCTGCTATCACTCCTCAGAGGAGTGATACTGCTCCTCCACGCTGATTTATTTACGAGTTTTACGAGCCGTGATCTGAAACCCGATGCTGGTTTATCTCCCTTTGGTCTGATCCAGTTCTAGTCCTCATTCCCGATAAGCCTTTATCGCCACAGAGAGTTACACTGAAAATTGAGCGGTTCGAATGTAATTTACGAGCCAAGATAAGCCAGTGGAGATTACACGGGATCAGAACTGCCACAAACAACTCAAATTTCACGTCCAGCGAAAGGGGACAAAGAAGTCCAAATTATGACTCAATAATACTTTCAATATTTATATCAATAGCCATTAAATATTATTGGTCACCATATCAACCCTAACCCTTGCCTTGAACCCTTTCGCTCCTGGAAATCGGAAACCGCAGGGAGCAATCAAAGTCGTTGGCGAATGTGAGAATTATTGGGTTTCAGCAATTAAGTTCCTGGACGAAAACGAGGGTGAGTATTGGGTGTCGCTGTTCCGGTGGAACTCTTTCGCAAATCCGACCAAGTGGACATTCGGTGTTTAATTCAGCTTCGATTAGCTGGCCCTAAAGGAAGTAATTAACCGGCTGGGCTGAACGAAATCGTATATCAAACGATCCCGGATGTGCCCTGACCAGCAGTTACATTTGCATAGGTCCCGGCTCCCGGGTAGTACAGATCCATTCCGGACGAAACCCCAGATGTTTCTACATCGGAACCACTTTTATCTAGCCCCCGACTTCCGCTTCCAGTCCAAGAAACTTCGAGATCTCCCCCTGCAAAAGGTCTGTGTTCCCACCAGATAGCTCACCTGTGGAAAAACCATCTCAGGACTGAGACCGAGACCCAGACCCGACCCAGATGCAATGTAATCACCACTATTATCACGGCAAATATTTGCCTGCAGATAAAACTAGTTTGCCGGAGAACTATTCTATTCATTAGTTGAAGTTTAGTTACTTGTTGACTTGTTACTGCATTACGCACCTCGCACTTCCTTCTGGCATAATGAGTCTTCTGAGTTGGTTCATTCATAAAATTAGATTCCGCCCGGGGGCTGCAGCAATCCGAATGGCATCCCGCATATCTCTGAGATATTCAAAAAGCCAACAAAAATGTTGCCGCTAAGAGTAAATAAGTTTCAAGCAAATTCGTTTGTTTGCCCGCGGTTATCTTGGCGTGTTTTCTTGATAAAGTTTCTCTTCCAAAAATGCGGTAAGCAGCTGGCCATATCCCAGACTGTTTCCCACACGGTACTATATTCTGGCAGGGACTGGAAATATTGGCCCGTTCTGGATTTTTCGGCTAAGTTCAGAGGTCACGATCAAATATTGTGTACAAGAAATGGAACAAAATTTGGTAGTTAAACTCGTTTTTCTATGTCCGAAATCGAGTTGGTTCCCGATTTATTTTTAAGCACCCAGCTGACCCATGAGAAGTTTTCGTCCATTTTGACCTTTGACACTGGCCGACCCGGAACCACTCACCCCTAAGTAAAGCCCGCTCGACCGGGATAGTCCGAAACTAGTGCCGAAAGTACTACCCATAAGCTTCCACTGGGGGATTAGTGTTGCGTTCGCACAATTTGATTACGAATTAAGAGACTGCGATCAGAGTTCAATTGCTCAATTAGCGGATCGGAACTCCTGGGCTATAAAGCTATGAAGTTATGAATGAAACCATGGAGTGAAATATTCATGCAGGGAGCCCCATGGTTCCAGCGCCCCAGTGCCGGCCCCACACTGGCTCTTAATCATGTTAATGGCATTAAGCAGCTCAATCGACGGCAAAGATCTAAGCTCGGCGTCGATAATCAGCCAAGACCACCCAGAATCCGAGTACGACTTCAACTGGAGTCGACTCCCGGTCGTCTAATTAAGAACAAAAGTCCGCCGCCTTGTAAATGTCAAGCGATTGCCACAGATCACGAACTTCTGCCTCGTTGCAAAATCAAAATGCATTAACAGCAGCAGTAGTAGCGGCAAAAAAGAGCCAGCCACAATTAGCCGGCAGTTGGAGCAGTTAGTCGGCAAATGACAAACAAATGAGCTGGGCAAAAAAACAAAAAGACAGTGGAGAATCATAATAAAATAATTGACGGGAACTGGGGAGCTGGACCCCTTGTATTGACATTTGCCACCGGAGGTTGACACGTTTGTCTGGCTGACATTTTAATACAAATGCTTGCGAAACGAGAGAGTTTTTTTACCGGAGATTTCATAAAGGTGTACGAATTGAAAGGGGTTAAGCGGCTGAACCCACTCCAACATAGAAAACTTTGGACTTCGGCTGTTGTAAATGTTTATGTAAAATTGTTCCCAACTATATAGTTATTTTTTCCCGGCCAACTACAAGCAAATGAGTCGTAAATCTCTCCCTCCCAAGTGCCCCAAGCCTTCGACACCTTTTTGCGGCCAATTCTCACACTCCGGGGAGACATTTGTCAGGCAGCATCTGGCCGGCCCGAAGACAATGGTTCAAGCTAAAACGCCCACAAAATGACCATGAAATTGCTTACGGAAGGAAGTTCGGGTGCCACAAAAACACGGCCTAAAACAATTGCTTAGACATTTAGCACACGGCACGGGAGGACGATGGACGGTGGCCGAAAAACTAAAATAGTTGTTCGGTATGAGAATCGAATGAATGAGCAAAGGAAGGCATGCCGACATCAAGACATAAAAGGCTAAAATGTCCATAAATATGGTCAATTATTTTGGTTGCCGGGCAAACACTGCGTAGGAGGTGGGCTCAGGTCCTTTCGTCAGGCCGTAAATCACGGCCAGGAAACAAAGGTACTCGGTAGGTGTGTCACCTTGCGAAACAATGGCCCGACACCTTCTGGCCAAGACAAAGACATCACAAGCCGACTGACTGACTGTTCGGCCAGGGCTTAAACTATTTTCAATGTGGTCCACACCCACGGCAGCTGACGATGCTGATGCGGCTAATGCGGTAATTAGATAATGCCCCTGGCCGATCTGAGCACGCGCCCCTTCTCCTTCCATTTTTGACATTTTTTATGTTTGGATCTGCCTCTGGGCTGACAAATACGGGTTAAAAGATTGCAATCAGCCAGGTAATGCGATACTCGCTCTAAAAAAAGAAACAAACAGAGAAACTCTTCAATTGTCGCGGCCACGGTTGCAACCCTTCGGGTAGCAGGATCTGTATCAATTTCGGTGACTCCGGGCATCCCTCAGCGAGCATCCTTTGAAATCAAAACCACAACCCATTTTTAGCTCCGTTGTTCGGCGGCCGCAATTGTAATTTTATAACCCAATTTGCGATGATTTTTTCCGGCCAGAGGCAATTAAAAAATGCCACTGGATTGCTCAACTCAATTGAACTGCAGTCTGCAGATATTTGATACTAAGAGATGGATGCTTTGATTAGCGGGAAAAGCCATTGCAGTTTCCGTTACATTTACCAGCCTCATTGCGGCTGAACCCTTTGGGGTTGAACTTTCATCTTGGGGCTGAACTTTGAGCTGGTCAACCCTTTGACCACTTCACTGGTCAAATGTCACAGATTCGAGAGCAGCTGCTGTCAAAGATCGCCGAGATCTTTTCTCAAGATGCTGCTGCATCCCTAACTCCAACGGAAAGTCAACCCCCGGGGTTAACATCTTGTTTCGCAACTTTGTCAGACACAATTAAAAAAACACACACGAAATAATAATGGAATTTTGATTGAAATGCCAGCGAAGTGTCAATCAAAGAATTATGAGGATATTTTTCAAGGATCAGAATTCGCAAAATGGTATTGTAATATTAATTAAATGAAGTACATAGGGAAGACAGTCAAACGGAAAAAATACAAATAAAATGGTTCACTGAGCATTGGTAGTTTCAACGTCTTTTTTTTTTTGTATATTTCAAATGCCCCTGAGAACGGAAGAAATTTCATTAAAAATACCCCTGATTTTATCCCAAAAAAATTCAAGTTTTTCTTTTGAGGAAAATTATACAAATCATGCACCCAAAAAAACGGAACAAAACTCCTCAAAATTCATGATGTATGCAAATGCAGAAACCGTTGCGGGTCATCGGGGTCACTCTTGTCCAGCCGAAGGGTTGCTCTGCTGTTTGTCCAGGTGTGTCCCAAGAAGCTTGAAGATCTCATCGCGCTGATGTGATTTTTCATTAGAAATCCATAAAACTGAAATCGCAAATTCGCTGCCGGACGGCTTATTATGCGTGACAGCATTTACGGGCATGACAATCGTATCTCTCGGATCCGAGGCAGATGTCCTGTTCGAAGTGTCTTCGCATCAGATACTTGCCGGATTCAATTAGCTCTAGATGAAAAAGAGTAAGAGGGAGGAAATCTTATAGTGGAGTCCCTCACTTTTATTATTTTATGGTGCTTATCAAATGGACTTCAATCAAGCAATCGTCCCAACGAATGGCCCTCAATTAGTTCGATATTTTCCTATTCTGTTGCGACTTTATTGGAGTGCTATAACTTCATAGCAGACCGTAACAAAATTCTTTTGATTTTTGGCGGGATTTTACTCAAGTGATACATGAAACCCAAATCCAATATCCGTTATTTTTCTTTATCAAAAATCTTTTTTAAAGTGCCAAAAATCGATCATAATCTTAATGAAAATTTAGCAAAAATCCTGCTGCCTCGAATATAAAGCAAAACAAATCCAAAATACTCCATTGTATGGCTTGAGCTGTCAATAAATATTTATGAATATAATAAAGTCAACTTTGAGCCAAGAACAAAAAAAGGAATGATGCCACGCGGCTTTTCCTTGGTCTCTCCCCTCCGCGAAAGAAAATAAATTTGTTTGCTTTCAATGCCGCTGAAATATTCAAAAGAATCAAGACGGCGGTCTATGAATATGCAAAAGGTAAGCGAAAATATTTGCAGGGCCCAAGGAAATGGGTCAAAGGTTACTTCACACACACAAGCAAACACACCTTTCTTTAGGGTGCATCGGCAATTCGCAAATCCGCAGCAATTTTCCATGCCATCGCATATGCAAAAATTGCAACAGTCGCCCCTCGATATTCCCTCCACTCACCACGTTACGCTTTGCAATTATTTTTGGGCTGTTTTCAATAGATTTTTCCCTGATTTCCGTTTGATTTTGGAATTTTATGCGCTACGATTTTTTCCCCCATTTCTTTTTTTGGTGCATTGGACTGTTTGCCGTACATACATACATGTAAGTGTGAAAAATTTCATAGTTACCAGCGTCATTAATTATCATTTTCAATTTTGATGTGTTGCCGTGACTAATTCGCATTTTATATTCTGTTTGTAAAACTCCGCAAAAAGTCGGTTACATTTTTGTGAATGTGGACCAATTTTTCTTGACAGATACTTTTTTGATTTTTAATAAAATGAATAAGCTTCTCCTGTTTTTTTTTTATAAACCTTTTTTATGTGAACATTGGCCAAATTATGAAAGTTTCCCATGGAAATCTGGACTTTGCTTTAGCTGTAACGGTCAAATGTCCATCAGATGGCCAAAGTTCAGTTGCTTAACTGGACCAAAGCCAGTTTGTCACCTATGAACCCCGCCCCATGTCAGCAGCAATTAATGAGAAGAGTTCAAAGATTTTACCCTAAAAAACGAGAGAGGTGAAGGCACTTTTTCTATTTCGGCACTAAATGGTCGAGCATCTTTGATCTGAACCCTCTCCAGCATCATCCTTTTGCCCACTTCTTGCCCTTTCCTCTGGGTTTTGTTCCCTTTTTTTTGCCTTTGATGAACTCTTTAACAGAAATGAATTTTTTTCGGGTTTTTTACACCCAAAAAGATGAAATATATATGGTGAAGAAAAGGGGAAACTAAGCATCTTTGGATGAGGCAGCATCTTGGTTCAAGGGTTCAGGGGTCTTTGCTTTTTAGAAGAATGAAGGGTGAAAGATTCGGTTGTTACTTTATTGGCAAAACAGCAATTTATTAATTGCCGCAATCGGGGTTCTAAGGCCAATCCAAAAATAGCGAAAATATTTCGTTTTTGAAATTAAAACTAGGCTCCGC